CCAGCTTGCAGACTATGGGACTTCTCAGCCTCCATAATCACATAAATCAACCCTCACAATAAATCTCTTTCTGCACATCTATATATAGTCTACTGGTTCTATTTCTCTGTAGAACCCTGACTTACACAGTTAGTATTCTGAGACACAGTTTATTTCTAAAAAGAGCGTAACATGGCTTTGGTGTGAATACCAGGCCAGCTGCTGAATATCTGTAGCTGCTCTTTTGTTTTCTTTCTCAGCATTCAGTGCATCATTCCGAACTTTGATAGTCCACTGGTCCTTTTTGATATACCAAGGAGCTCTACTTAGATGTACACTCTCCAGCACTACAGGGCATGCACTGTGTAGCATCTAACTGTTACTCAATCAGAAATGAAAGCTAATTGCCTTATCTCTGGCCAGTCAGAAATGGCAGTGATGACTTTTAAAGGCTTTTGTGTTGAAAATGTTAATTAGTTGCATGCACCTACAAAGACAGTGGCAATTTTATAATACTTAGTTTAGGAAAGTGCAAAAGATATCAAAATTACTAGAAAGAATAAACAAAGGCCTTGTTTATAGTATTTTTCAGAAAAGGCAATGTTTCCAGAAATAGATGTTAGATGAACTGCTTCATATCATTATAAGTGTAGAAGGAAATTCCGATATATCATTAGACCATGTTTTCTCCCACTGGTTAATTCCCTTTTTATTAGACAAGATCCTGGGAACATCATATAGCAGATGCTGGAGGATACTTCTGCTAAGCTCTGAAACCCTGGAAATACAATAGGAGTCTGGTTTTCAGTGATAAACAGATTTGTTTTACAGGGTTATGAGTGTCTCCTCACTTGGTACACTCTGTGATTTAGGAAGTGCTATGATAGTTTTTCACATCGTTTTTCCCCATCGATACCAGCAGACGAATGCCACCTAATTCTACTCTCTCAGCACCTAGGCTAACAATTTGTTCTTGAGCTTCCTGAAACATGTCAAAGGTTCTTGGGTGTGATACATTGTAGGAAGCTTAAATTAGGGTTTTTTAACAATTTACAACAACAAAATTTTACTTTAACTGACACAAAAGAAGTCAGATTTTTTAAAAATTTACCATGCTACTTCCTTTTCACTCTGCATTTTTATATGGTAAATTATTTTCATCTCTGAAAAATCTCTTTAGGAATAAATTTTCAGGGTCTTTCAGAAAAACTTATTTTCAATGAATTTGAGACTCCAGTAGTGAAAAGTCAAAAATCAAAATTTCTAAGCACCAGTCACAGCCTTTGGCCACCTAATCCTGGAATCCCCCAAGAATTCTTAATTGTCCATGCCAATGCCCATGTCCCTCTCCACTGAATGGCGTGCACTCTATAACTTGTGTTCTACACGTGCTTCTGTTTAACTATCTAGAGTTGAAGTTTTCTTTTCTTTGATAAAATGTGTAATCTTATCAACACAGAAACCCACATGAGAGGACCTTTACTAGAGGACATATCAAAGATTTTTCTATCTTAGAACATTAGCAACAACACCGTGTAAGACCACTGTTGGGGAAAGAGAGAGGGGGCTGAGAGCAGCCTCGAGATGTCACCTGAGAGTGCCTGGGACATTGACAGACCTCAGAAAGGGAGCTGAGTGAGCAGTGCCATAGGAGCGTGAAGCTGTCAAAACTGGAGGAGATATGGGGTTCTAAAAGCCATGCCAGGAACAAGTCAGAAATCCTGAGATACAAAATGTCAGTACCCGCCATGGACCATTATACCAAAGCTGCTAGTGTGACTTCAAGACATCAGCCTGGAGCAATGAATGAGTAAGCTGACCTTCACCAAAGACTGGAAGTGACACTAGCAACTGGCTATTGATACTGCAGAAGAATTGGAAAGAAAAAGAGGGAGGAGGAAGAGGCAAGAAAAGAAAAGAAACAAATCAGGGGTGATAATATTTCTCCCAGGAGGTGGAATCCCTCCAAGCTGAAGGATATGACTACAATAGAAGCATTCAGCCCACCACCTGTTTTTGTAAATAAAGTTTTATTGTACCCAGTCATGCTCATTGTTTTCATTTTGTTTTGGCTAAAATGGCAGAGTTGAATAGCTGTGACACAGCTATACTCACTTCCACCCCTCCCTCCAATGCCTAAAACATGTACTTTCTAGCCCTTTACAGAAAATGTTTGCTGACTCCTGTATCATGAGGTCAGTTTAGGATAACCTAAAGCCCAAGGAGAAATCATCAAGAGCCTGATTTACCCAAATGAAAAATTGGGTGATGCTCTAGCCCTCCTTCCAGCCCTGTCCTTGTGGAGCTTATAGTATGGCAGGGAAGACAGGTGACACATAAGAAACTATAAATGTGATGACTGTGAATAAAGAGGAAGCACAGGCATCTCCTAGACCCTCAAGGAAAGACCTTGCTCTTGTCTAAGGAGTTAAGGAAGGCTCTGGAACCAGTGCATTTGGGATGAGACCTTGGAGATGAGGGAAAGTTAGCCAAGGGAAGAGGAGAGAGAAGTGCTCTAAGGAGGGAAGGGCACATGCAAAGACCCAGACCCAAGAGACAGTGCAGTAGATTTAAGGACTGAAGAAGGTCCAGTGAGTCGGCGGGGAGGTGGATGCAGCGACCCCAGAGGACGTGGCTGGTTGATTCCTTGGGGCCTGGTAATTCTTAACATTGAGGACTTGAGAACCTGTCCCAAGGACAATGAGAACTAGTAAAGGCTTTCAGGCAAAGGAAGGATATGATCACATTTGTATTTTTTAAAAACCCCAACACTCTGATAAGGCTTGGAACTTTGGAGCCCACACCCAGAGAGAGAGACCAGAAAATTGTTTTGGGAAGGACAGAAATTTCCACAGACGAAGCAGTGACTCACCTGTTTACTAAGTCCAGGAACATATATAGTTTATTTCACTCCCAAGCAGATAGGCCTGAGGTGACCAAAGGAAACAGGTTGTGTGATGTGACACAGTCAAGTCAATGGTGCCCTGGGCCTTGTCACTTTAAGAGATGGCTTCTTGACTCTATCAGTCTTTGGGGTTTTGAAATTTTTCTGGGGTTCATGGGAGGCTGATCTGTTCTGCTTTCACTTCATTTTCTCCAAATACTATTTTTAAAATATGTTAGTCTCACTTAGACTGAATTCAGGAAGAAGCAGCTGAGGCTTTTCTACGTCCAGGCTAAGATGGTAGGGAAGATCTAAATGCCCTAACCACCACTGAGGAGCTGAAGGGACAGCGAGGGGCACACAGCCAGGCTCAGGAGTGGGGTGGCCTCTCCTTGACCCCACATCACACTGAATATTCTCCTTGGCTTTTCTCTTGTGAAGTTATCCCCTCTGTAAAACCTTTCAAGGCTGCCAGCTCCACAAACTGCCCTTCCCTGGGCCGCTCAGAGAGAAAAGCAGAACCGTCTCTGCTCCTCTTAAATCTGGAAGTTACTTTCCAAGCCACAAATTTTTATTTTTCTAAAACCCCCTTAAAATGTCTTTCACTGCTGATTTTTAGGGCCCCTTTGTCATCATTAAACCCAGCAAATTATTTCTTTTTCCCAAGGATTAGTAGAGGAGGAAAGAAATATTAGCTTATACTAAGAAGCCAGAAAAATAGAAAAGTATTATCTTGCAAGTCTTGGGATGATGGTGTGCATCAACAATGTGGGAGACACTGTTGAGGAATAGGATAAAAGCCAGACCCTTCTAGCCCTGAGGGGGAAGAATTACACAGGGATCCTAGGGGAACACATGAATATCCTTTTATCAGAGTCATGATTGAGGTGAAGGACTAAGGAATAGCTCTTGAAGAAAGTAGAATTTAAAGTCAAAGTCACTCCCAGCTCTCCTTTGTCTCTCCATGCATGGTTCTTTCATCTTCACAAATCAACACATAACTCTAATACTTGATTCCTAAAATGACATGTAGGCATTTTTTAGCAATTTCAGTGTCTTTTAAAACCATAGAGTCATCAATGTTTTCCCCAAATTACTTCCTAATCCACCTTCAGCATTCATCCACAAATATTTGTCATCATTACTCATAGAGGTAGGAAACACAAATTATTCAAAGGCTTACAATCAACATGTAAACAGTTACTGCGAGGCAGGGAAATGGAGGCCTCGAACGGAGACAATCACAGAGGGTTACAGAGCAGAGCACAAGTGTAACTAAGTCTGGATTGGTAGCGGTGTGCGGGGATAAGGTGGAAGGTGGCTGCACACAAAAAGAACCTCTATAAAACAAGAGCCTATAAATAAGTCAATACTTTAAAAGTTTAATAGTAACCGCTATTAGTCCTAATATTAAGAGTTTTAGGTACAGTCATGATTTGTCTCTAACATGTCTAGAAAGCTATTCTTCCCTTAGAACATTTGAAATACCACACTTTATTCCCAGTCTTAAATGTGAAGGGTATTTGATCTATGCGTTCAAATAATCAGCAACATGTGATATCTACTGGCTACGGAAACCAAAAAACTGGAATTAGATTCTAGAAACCAACTCTAGCCAGGCTTCCAGAGCTCATATGTTTTAGTAACTAAATTCTTGAAAACTGGGAGAATGAGGGAAGGAACATGGTGTCAGAGAAAAGATATGTTGGTGTAGTTTTGAATTAAACCAGCACCAGTTTTCCAGCGTAGGATTTGTGGTTATCAATACAATCAATCAAATTACGCTTTCATAAAGCCAAGTTAAGAAAGTTCCCTGGCATTTTTATTTTTGCTAGATTTTTCAATCTGCTCACCCATTTGTGCCACACTCCCATATACCACAGATTCTCAAAAGAATTGCTACGTAAAATAGTATTGCTATATGTACATGAGACAGCAACCAAGAGTCATCTGTGTTGTATATAATATTATGAAACCATTCATGTATTCATATCCAAGCATTGTCATCTTATTTATCACATGACAAGAAGCCATCCTATAGTAAATCAGAAACACAACGTCCCACAAAGTGAGCCTTAGAGGAAATGGACTGGCAGAACATAGTCTTCAAATGCTGTCAACAGTAAAAGTCACTTACCTTGAAAGTGAACTTGAGGAACCCAGAAGAAACAAAAAGCTCCACTCTAGAGAGTCAAAGAGTTTTACCTTTTCCAACTTCTGTTTTCATCATTACAAAGCACTGAACAGAATTCAAGTTTTTTCAAGAACATTAACTATTTACTTAAGTGTCAATGCCCTGAAGGTCAGCCTAGGCACAGTTCAGTGACATCTGAGAAAAGGTTGAACACACTCAAAGTAATAACCCCAAACACAGAGTGTACCGGGGAAGACCACTGAGGGAGTCAACAGGCTTTGGAAATTGCTGACTTGCCTTGGAAGGAGAGGTGAGTTGTGAACAAGGGGGCCCAGTAAGAGTACTGTGATTCTGACTATGTCCGACTCTTGTTTTTATAGGCCTTTATTTTTGAAAAGTTACATAACAAAGCAAAAAAAAACCAAAACAAACAAACAAAAAAAAAAAAACCAATCTTTAAACTTTTCCCAACAATTTAAAAGATTATTCCTGGAAAATCCTTAGGTTGTAGGCCCCTGAGTTTTCTGACCAGGCTCCAGAGTTTCCTGGAGACAGATTACCTAAAAAGACACCTGAAACAGACTTTTGCTCAAAACTCTGAGTGCTCTGATGACCCTTGCACTCTGGCCTGAACAGTCAATAACCTCAGGCTCTACCCACCAGATGAAGCCCTGTGTAAGTAGAGATTAATGATTTTTTTAAATGTTCAAATAAATAGAAATCCAAGTCAAATAAACACATATAGCTTCTCCAGGGGTTCTGTGTTGCTCATATCTGTTCCTCTTCTTTCTTGTTAATCCTTTCATTTTCTCAAAATGCTCTTATTTTTATCTCTCTCCCTACCTGAGCTGACCCTTCTCTAAGTGTGCCTCACTATGGCCTTCCACAATGACTAACGGCCAACATTGGTCAAGCCCTTGTTGGGTGCTTGGCTCAACTGAAAAGTTTTATTTGTACCATTTCATTTGGGCTTCTCAGTAACTAGAAATTATTCGCTATCATCATTATTCTCATTTTATGGTTGAGGAAACTGAAGCACAGAGAAGTTAAATAATCCCTTCAAGTTCCTACAACTAATAGGTCCAGAGCCTATGCTCCTGACCACTCTCTGCTAACCTACTTCCACCCCATGCTCTAAAAAGCAGTCAATGAGCCAGTGCTCTCAGTTTGCAGAAAATGAGATCAAATTAAATGAGGTCAAATTTTCTCAATTTAAAATTTTTCTGCCTAAATTTTTCTTTAAAATTCAGCATCCACTATTATTTGTTTCTCCCGGAATCTAGATATAAGGTGGTTTCTGATTTAGCCCCAAATTTTGTATATTATTATATTTATATGTTAAAATCTCAATATATCAAGGTCAGTAAAGAAAAGAATTATTTCTAGATGTCCCGCTATCTGAACTGGTTTGAGAAGTCCTGGAATGGGTTGACTTCTGAGGTCACACAATTGTAGTAATATTGAGTTTGGCACCGATTAAGACTCGGGAAAAAGATCTTTACACTAAACCAAAAATGCATGCAGCTGTGGGGTTGTAGCTTTGATTAGGAGAAAATCCTCAGCAGAATTTTGCTACCTTTGTTGTGGCAAAGTTATTGACAACAGCTGGAGGGTATAAATGCTCAGGAGGAAACTGTCACCTCAGGATGAGAGTGGAGCTGCTCACTGGTCCTAGTGTCCTGAGACTTCCCTTTGTGTGATATGGAGACTTAGGGGAAGAGAAAAGCATAAAGATTTAGAGCTGGAAACAACAGATACAGATAGTCTTCACTTAACATCATAGATAGGGTCTTGGAAACTGTGGCTTTAAGTGAAGCGACGTATAATGAAACCAATTTTACCATAGGTTAATTGATATAAACAAGAGTTAAGTTCTATGGCATATTTCTGATCACGAAAACATCACCAAACTTCTAAATAAAGACCTAAAAACACTTCTAATGTTAAACATTGAAATAAATTGAGCTACACATACATTTAGGAAAGATGAATAAAAACAAGTAAAATCATTATTTTCCCAACCTGCTTTTGGATGACAAGTGGACAGAGCCTATCCTGGCAGCTCTGGGCACAAGGTGGGAACCAACCCTGGACAGGACACCCTTCCAATGCAGGGCGCATTCACACACACCCACATTCACTCACACTGAAACACTGTAGACAGGCCGATGCACCTCACATCTCTGGGGTGTGGGAGGAAAAAGGAGTCCCCAGAGAAAAATCACGCAGATGTGAGGAGAATGTGCAAACTCCATAGACAGTGGCCCTGGCCAGGAATCAATTTTCTTTTTCTTATCGACGTTGTAATTAAATGACATTGGACAAAACATTACCTGAGGACTTGCTGTATCTCATCTCCAACCACCTTGTCTCATAGATGAGAAAAGTGAAGACAGAGCAACAACCTATTCCAAGCCCTTCGGAAGGTTAATGGTGCCTTCCTCTGCTCCTTTAGTCTTGCCTTTTGACAGGCCTGGGCAAAGAGAGGATTCAACTAATTGTTATTAATTTGTTTCAGCAGTGGGTGAGTTTCCTTTATGGTTTATGGTCTGAAGACAGGTAGAGTTGTGGTTCCTGCTGTCCTCCAGTTAAAGTAACGACTTTTGAGTGCTTACTGTGTGTCGAAACTGTTCTAACCTCTGGGATACAGGAAAAAACAAAACAGATGAGAATCCCTGCCCTCAGGAATTTACATTTTAGTAGGGGGATGGGGTAGACTATAAACAAATAAGTAAAACATATGATATGTCAGATGGTGATAAATGCAATGGAGAAAAACATTTTGGGAAAGGGATATGATAGAGAGTATGTGTATATGTGAATATATGTGAGTGTGTGTTAGTGGAGAAATATTGCTATTTTAAGTCAGGTGGTTAGAGAAAGACTCACTAAGAAGGTAACATGTGAGGAAATATCTGAAGGAGGCGAAGAAGCAAGTACATGAATATCTGGGGGAACAACAAATACAAAAGCCTGAGGTGGGGCAGGGGAACACCTGGCATGTTCAAGGAACCACAAGGAAGTCAGTGTCACTGGAGTAGAGTAAGAAAGCAGTAGTAGACAGTATCGATACAGTAGGAGTGGGAAGGTGGCTCTTAAAGTTTGATTACCAGACAAGCAGCATCAGCATTACCTGTTAGAAATGTAAACCCTGGGGCCTATCTACCTCAGACCTACTGAATCAGAAACTCTGGGGTGGTGCCCGCACGCTCAAGCATGAGAACGACTATTGTAGAGGCTTGGAAGACTCTTTTGCTTGGTTATTACCAACCACCCTGAAAATCATTATAAGCTGTTAAAAGCTAGGTTGTCACAATAAAATTGGCTATGTTTTTGTGGCATAGAAACTAGCAGAGAAAAAAAAATGTCGAAATTAAAGCTTCTTTGGGTAGTTTTGTGTTTTTAAAGCAAGATTTGTAGATTACAATCTCTGTATTTAGTTCACTGCACAGCGGGGAAGAATAGTACAATGAAAAATCATGGGATCCCCTTTGCTCAGTGTACAGGCTGCCGCAACCCTATTTCATGTCTGGCCTTGGCTCCTAGAACTCCTCCAGGCCCCACACGTTCAGCCACTTAAAACCCTGAACACATACAACACTTCATTATAGCCTTCAAATCATGCTTCCTTAAAATGATAGTGGCAACAAAAGTTAAAGATAGTGAAATGGGTAACCTCAATATATATTTTAGACGTTTTATGCTCCCTCTATAGAATTATCACCACCAAATAAAAACATTAAATCACACTTTATCAAATTGTAATTTATAAATATCTGAATAAAATGTATATATTGATATCCACAGCTATTTATCTGCTTCAGCACTCAATACTTGGTCAGAATTTCTATTTTTATTTACCTCCCTAGAAAGGAGAACTGGCACAAAAATATAGACTATACTCATAAGCAAATCTTTTCTCATATTCTTGAGTGTAGTAGTTCCTGTCTATCTGTAAAGGCTCGTCATTGCACATATCATGTCAAACACACAAAAAATAATCATTATTATAAGGGAACATCAGTAATTGGAGAAGGGAAAGGAACTGGTGAAAGAAATAAAGAAGAAAATCAGACAGAATCCTACTACAAAACAAAATTCGTTAATAAGTGGTTATGCCTGTGGTGCTGAGTAGAGACTTGCATTGTCAAATGAACTCATTTCTCGCTGGAGAGAGGCAAGCCTGCCTGAGCCTCTGAGTGGATTGAGTTTTCATGTCTCAGCTTTACCCAGGACACCTCCCTTCTTAAAGTGATGTATCAGTCTCAGAAACCATTCCTTTGTTGGGGTGGAAGAGGAGGTGATAAGAAGTGGGTGTTTGGTAATAGTCAAGCGATGATCACTGTGATCTAGGCCAAGTGGTCATAAGTAAGGTGTGAGTGGTATCTACTACTCCCTAGCTTAAAGTGAGGCAATTCATTCTTAATATGACATACCTTTGCAGGAAGAAACCAGTTTTACCAAATTAGTCAATTGTGTCTTCAGACAATAATTCAATAGCTTCATAAAACAAAACTCCACTTCTCTACATAAGCTTTTCAATCCAGGTGGATATTAATAAACTAATATTTTTAACTTTAATGGGGAACATGAAGGCAGACACATTATTTTGATTGCTATATTGCAAATGGCTGTTTGGAGCTCCCCAGTCCCACTTTTAGTAACTCAGAGTGACTCCAAAATACACCAGAAAACATAGCTGGTGAAACACTACTTCAAAGCAGTGAGTTTTTGAGACCTGATTCCTAATTCATTGCTTCTCAGTGACACTTGTCTGGGCACACATTTGAGAATATCACAAATTTAAATAATAATGATTCAGAGTGATTAACTAGGTGACCCTGGTTACATGTATCAAACCTCTAACTGAGGTGAATAAAATGAAGGACTTGCAGCCAAGTTCAACCTGCATCCAATTCCTATAGAAATGTCAATGTGGCTGCCGTAATACTAGGCACTCTCTTCCAATTCAGCCCAGGGGTTTCGGCAGGCTTTGTTTCAGAGTCTTCACTTATTTCTCCCAGCACACAGTCAGGTATCCTTACCCTTAGACACCAGCCCATGCCACTTTAGCTGATTCACCATATCCTCAATTCC